CCATGCCCACCCAACTAGTACGAGTTCTTTCCCCTCTTCGCGGCTCACATTATCTCTTATGTCGCTGTCTGGCTTACTATATAGAGCAAAGAGGCCATACTCTGTGTTGACAGTTTCTTTTCCTCTCTTCTGCGCTTGCAGTTTGCAGTACCTTCAGAAGGGTAAGTTTTTGTATTAAATACTGCCTATTTAGAAAACGCCCCGCTCACCACAGCTGGCACGCCGTACTCGAAGGGTGGAGATCGGTCGAGGATCCGTCAACATTTCTTCGAGGATATTCGAATGTTTACTCACGCTCTCCCGCGCAAACATTCACTCACAACGCTATTCTCATATAGTGCAGGGCCATCGTCGAGGACTTCGTCGACCGTTATTCACCCTATGTTCTCGGATCAGCATGAAGCTCACCTTAACCCGGTTCTTGTGCTCCCTAGGCAGTTTTGGGACAGAATTGCGAATTTCGCTATCGGCCTCACCCATTTCAGCTCTCACTGTGAGCCGGGTTCTTTTTGATCCATGCATGCTCTGCATATGCTCAACAAACCCTGAAGTTGATCTGGCCTGGCTATTCAGGAACGTGCTGAATTTTGCGAAAGACAGACAGATTCAGGGGATTGTACAAAGTGGAATATGGGTGCGAATCATTAGCATCGCAAACCCGCCGTGTGGGTACGATTAAGCATGAGCAGCAGAAAAACCGACACCTCCCAACAAGCAATCCAGAGGTAACGCGTGCGCAACAGCGCAACAAAATCATGAGCGTAAAGACCTTCCACGTTTTCACCCAAGACTATCAAATGAGTGAATTTATTCTATTCCCAGAACTATTATCTAATTTATCTTGCATTCGTAGTAGGTAGAAAGGCAGACCAATCAGGCGTAAAAAAAACTTGCAAGTAACAATGAACCTTTGCCGTGACCGTAATTATCTCCCATCGTGGCAATGTGAACAGGAGCACCTTTGAGCGGCAGAACATGAACAGCATACGGACAGGACATATCGTAATGTCTCAGGAGCTCCGAACCAATTGTCTGAAATACGAACAAGTAAATGTATCCTTCAACCAATCATGTGAATTCTGACCTTTACTATTTTCATTTCCACCTTATCGATTTCCACTATATAAATGCGATCGCTATTCATACATGGCACAACCATATGAGTTCGTAGCACCTGGAATTGTTCATCATTTGGAAGCCTAATTCCTGAGATTGTATAGTTTCTAAAATTTATACAAAACAAACAAATCCACTGACGTTAGGTATAGCCTGTATACTGGCAGCAGATCTGGTCCAATTAATTCGTCCAGGCTCGTCGCCAACATCAGGAAAGTTCAACGTAGAAATCACCTGGATAGATTTTTCTCTTCAATAAACGTACAACTCTTACATATGAGCCTAAGAGGTGTAGTGGCAAGCGGTGCTGCTTACCATAAATACGGTCCGGGATCAAATTCAGTGCCGTACGCCGTTCAGGTGAACAAAGAATTCCAACCAGGGTGAAAATCGTGTCGAGGAAATAACCGCCTCTTTACGACCCCCCTCCAAAACATGGACTCTGATACGACCCCTTTTTGTCCTCTGCACATCCGGTTTCATATCAAAAAATGCTAGTTTCAGATGTGCGAGAGGGACGCAGCGCCGCTGCCACGCAAATGCGGCTTGATCCAAATGCTAGATTCAATTCTGCTCAGATTAGGTTCTCCTTCTTTCCTTTAAAGACATTTAACCTTTGCCACATTGGCCGGAAAGTAGAACATTGAAGGAGGTACTGCCCTACACAGTTGAACAGTCTCGCGCTCCAGTATAGCGGCGCTAACTACCCGCGATCGCGTCGCGCGCTGTGCCTAGAGCGCGCTAGTTGGAAAAATCGTCAAATGTACCCCCTATTTAAAGGACTATAACTTTCTTCATTGATAACCATTTCAGAAAGTGAAGGCAGCTTTTGAATGCACAAGACTTCTAGTTTCTAAATTGTGCTGAGCGTTTTTCTAAGCACGCCTATTCTCGAGACGTCGAGAATTGTCGAGGAAATTGAAATTTACATGCGAGTTCCCACTCTTTGGAAGACAGTAGCTGTCTTCATTGGCAATGCTTTGAAAATCGGAGGAAAGCGTTGTAAAGTAGAAGATTTACGCTTTCTGATAGGTGCTCCAGTTGTTTCGAACGCTTTCTAGTTCGCGAGAAATCTGCGTCGAGGAAATGTCAAGGAAATTTTCGAAGCCACTCGAAAACTCTATTACTCCCTCGCCGTAGTAGGGAACTTCTTTGAACACCTTCAAAATACTTCTGTACACGTCAGTTCGATGGAGTAAATTGAAAAATGGCGCGGATCCATTCCGTTCTTGTATGCGCCATGCAGTGACCCCACTCGGAGTCATTGGGAAGGTGTTTTGTCCTAGTGACGACTTGCTTAAGCACACCAAAAGATATTTCCAGTATTAACTAATTAGGATAACTCTTGTGGTCATAGTGATGTCTGATCATTCCTTTATTCAAATCGCTTCCTTTCCAACCCGTTCTGATGAATGACACGCTTGCGGTTGCAGGATCTGATGATGCCAAGAAGGCTGCGAATCTGCCTAATCGCTGCCCTTTCCCTACGATTCTTTTGCAGGACGCGTTGCCTTCCTATGCCATACTGATCACTACGAACCAAACCAACAACCACTTTCCATTTGAATTTTAATTCCAGACAGGTGTAAGATATTATTTGCATTAGGCTAACTACAACACTTGTGAAACTAATGATGACAGCAAATAAGTGGCAGCAGCACCGTTGTGTCCGTTGATGAACCTTTTGATTACGACCCCCTCCCAACTCTCATCGGAGCAAATACGACCCCCTGTCGAGGATTTCCTCGACCGTTATTCACCCTGCTTCCAACCCTCCGGGCTCGGTTTCCTGGCAACAGAGTTGGCCGGGAAGATGAAAAGCCCGACTCGGGAAACGGCCGTTTCTGCGATTCGATAGGGGAGAGGCGACGGCAAATCAGGTCAATTGCATTTCTTAGGTTGTTGCAAATACATGTCGCATTTTATATGTACATACAATTAGCAGCAGTACCTCGACACCTTGGAAAAAATGAATTCTATCTATTGCATGAGGCTTCGGCCTTTGTCACGCAGAGATTTGACGTTCTCGATGAATGGGAGCAACTGTGAGCTTACAAGCTTGGACTACCAGGTTGGAATTCTCTGCAGTCTTGAGATAATTTCACCTTCAAAATTTGCCGTGCTGATTCGGATAAACAGCGCTTAGGCAGTGTGCAGAGTTGGCGATCCGCGTGCGATTACGCGATTAGGCGATTTGTCTATAAAAAAAGGGATACGTATCGACCAAGTGGTTAGGGGAGTAGGCGAGTATAAGATTAGGAAGATCGCTCAGTGGGCGGGCAACAAATCCATTTTTTTCTTATCTTATGGCCTACTCACATGTGTACTTTAACCCTTTCCGGACCGCCTGACACACATGGTGTGTCAGGAACTTCAAGAGCTGATTTTTCCAAGAGTTTGGTTTTTCGATAAAATATTTTATGTTGTTACATACCTATGTAACAGACTCATGCCATATGTATGAAAAAACCTAGACTTTAGGTTTAATCTAGGTTCTAAAATAACCAAAGAGTAAATGGACTTCCACTTTGGGCTCAAAGAAAACAGTTGTAGTTCGCTTGAAAACACTTAAAAACGAAGAATTTGTGAAATATCCTGCTCGTCGTATCTGATTCTTATGGATCCAATCGTTTTGGGCACGTTCTACTCCCTTTTTCTCCATACCAACTTATTTTGAACAATTTTCGTCCCTTCCTCCCTTTTTATGGCCCTTTCCCTTTTTTTTGCAAAACAGTTTTCTGTCAAATTAATCTTATATATTCTTCGAGACATGACAAAGACATAAACGAGACAAAATAATGGCTTTAGTGGGAATACAGATTAAATATATGATATTTATGCTTGCCGCGCAGCATGCGGCCGTGAGCGCAAAAAGTGCGCGGTACCCTATTTCAAAAAGCGAGAGGTCGGTGCAGACCATACACCACAAGTGACGACGGCCTCCACAAAATGTAAATGTTTTCTGCCAATGAAATGATTAGCCTGTTGCAGTTGTATTCTATCAGTTGTCACTAATTACAACTATCATTTACCAAAATCAGCTATCACTATGAACCTAACCAGATTTACTTGGAGGCCGTCGTCACTTGTGGTGTTGGTCTGCACCGACGCTTTTTTTGAAAGGTAGGGTACGATCGCCAACTCTAAAAACCACCTTGAAAGGAGTGTGAAGGAGCCGTTCAGCGGAGAAGTATTTAAAATGTCCTTATTCTACTCTCGCACTTCTTTCAGTGCCTCACATGATATACAAGCTCGTGTAGCGAGGATTATATGACCGTGCTATATATTATATTTCTTGTCGAGGTGGTGCATTGTTTAAAGGAGATCGTTTTTTTTGTTTGCGAGAAGTCTGCTGTAACCGTGTGAGATGGATTCAGCACCTCAAGATTTCCTGGAACACTCATGTGTGTCCCCGAGAGTTTAGGTTGGTCATCGTTCAAAAAAATACAGGTAAAAATGCAAAATGACTTGGCTAAAAGAAGACACCTTATAATCTTAAATACTCTCCCGAACAAATACACAATAAAGCCTGGGTATTCAAAAACAGCCGAGTGGGGTGAAGGTAACTCTGTGTGATATCAATATTGCAAGAACCTGGTGAAATGCTACAGTGATTCTGAATGGAAGTAGAATGCGTGGCTAATCCCAGAAGGGACTCATCACCACTGAATGCTTTATCCTTTATCCTCCATGACTGAAATATAAAGGGGCAGAGGAAGATGAAGTATAAGCTAATGGTAGAAGCATCTGCAAGTACTCTAGTTCGTTTCATAATTGCAGAGCATCTGAACTCTTATTTGGCCGATATGATGGCTTGGATGGATTGAGATAGAATGTTAGCAGGGGATTAACACCGCGCGCATGGTCCAGGGATTAAAGGCAAAGTTCGGGCTCAGACCCACCTAAGAAGCCCTTACCATGGCTAGAAGTGCTGGGTACGCAAGTGCAAAGGTAGCGCCACCTTTCTACATCGAAACGCGTCACTAGGACCCTAGGCGCCATGGACTTCTAACAGACTCCACCAAACTTAACATGGTCCGCCCACCGTTCGATATCTTGTCTGCGTCGCTGCGTTTGCTATGCTCTCTTCTCGGACTTCTCTACCGCTCTCCGCGCTCACATTATCTCTCATCTCCCTGCCTGCCTTTTGAACTTCTCCACAGCATAGAGCAAAATGCTCGTATTTCCTGTATATTTCAGGATTTTCTTTCCTTTTTCAGGGGCGGAAGTGGTGTAGTGGCAAGTGGCACGCTTACCACGCGAGCGGTCCGGGGATCAAATCCTGGGTCGTGAGTCGCCCGGGCCAACCAAGCCTTCCATCCCTCCGGGGTCGGTTAATTGGTACCAGACTTGTCTGGGAGGATAAAAACACTGACTTGTACATCGGCTGGCCCCGCAAGTCATTGTATAGGCCACATCGCATTCAAACGCCACTACGAATGTACAAATGGAAGTAGAATGCGTGCCGCATCCCAAAAAGGGATTGATCAACGGCAAATGCTTTATCCTTTTTTATCCTTGCTTATCCTCTGTTAATATTAATCCCTATCTTCACATTGAGTAGAACAAACCCATCACTAATCCTGTTCTTGCCTTTAAAATCCCGGAAAGAACTCGCACAGACGTCAGCTGCTTGAATGCAGGCACACTATTCAAGACTGATTTCCTTATGTCGCAACATGCGGAGATTAGGCTACGATAAGGGCAAAGAAGCCAAAATGAACACCGAGCTCTTCGGACTCTATTTCCCACTAATGCGTGGGGATTAAGAGAAAGGTTAACATCAATTTTGAGAAAATTCATACTTTGCAAAATGTTTCGCTGCCTTCCTCGAGATCAACAATGGCAAGGCGATCCGCATGAAAACCAACAGAATGAGGGCAGCTGAGCACGGCTAATTTTTCTTGAACCTGTTTCGCCTGAAGAAATCAATATGTATCAATATCAATATCAGTTATTCAACAGCCGAAAATACTAAATCACTCACACTTTCATAGCTATAAGTGGAATGTTCTGGTGCAATTTTTTTCACCACCTCTCGTTTCTCCGACTTCTCGTATGTGGGGAGTATGTCCATTGTCATCTGCCGAAACTCATGTTCATGGCTCTGAAAGTTTTATTACTGTGAAGTATTTTCTAAATGTTCCGCTGTCCGAATATATTGGTAAACTAGAAAAGTCGGTGCTAACTTAGTTGGGGGGGACCACGCGGCGGCGCGGCAGTCTGCTCGCCTGGCATCTTTGCGTACTTCGGAAATCCGTGAGCCAGGGGGAGTGTAGGCAGTCTAGGGGGTGGGGGTGGGGCAGTCACTTGACATGCGTGAAAAGCTGGAATGTTCGAGTTTACACTGTCTCGCTCGAGAGAGCCCAGGTGAGCAGACTGCCGCGCCGCCGCGTGGCCCCCCCCCAACTAAGTTAGCACCGAAAAGTCGTTTATTTCGTGCACTGTTTTTTATCTAACACATGTGAGGACGACTCTTTTACTCCCACTGCCAATTAATGTTAGTAACTGGATCGCTTCTAGAATGGACCGCCCACATTTATTTATGTTGAAAATGCACATTGATTAATATAAAACGATTGCTCAATCGAAGATATCCCACTGTGGAATAGCTTCACCGAAGCAGGCGTCAAATTTCCCCTCTCCCCACATCAATCGCAGTTTGAGGGAGGAGCAAAGGGAAAGCTTTCTTTTTTTTCATGTGTTAGTGATGATGAAAAAGGGATTCATTTAGAGGGGAGGTTCCAAGCGCTGGAGGAACGAGAGTCAAAGACGGCACAAATTGCCTACTTGGGAGACAGGTGTACCTCCCGAAGGTACGGACCGATGCACATTTGGCAGCAAAATGATTTGACTTCGGCGATCTAGCATGGCTCACTCTTGGCGCTGTTGGCGCGGTACGCCCACCGACAAGAGAGAGCGTTAACGTCGAACTGGGCACTACTATGGGAGTCGCATTGTTGCGGTGATCAGCGGGCAAGAAAAGCGACCCATTTATCGGGTTCCAGGCCCTTTCTCATGATTTCTCTTTCTTTGGATCACTGACCAACCATAACTCAATCTGAAGTGGGTTGCCTTTTCAGCGCAAATTCCGCCCTTTGTGATTTCCAGAGTGGGTTGAGGTGGGAGTTAGGGGGTCTTCGTGTCGGAGCAGTGGAAGCGGAGATGGAGTCTTGATCTTTTCGACGATCTCGGTTAATACTCTAGCAAAGAGAAGTTAAGCATACGTTAGTTTCGCTACATACGTTTATGTACCCCTAACTACGCTGGAAGGCCGTGATAGAGAATATTCATGGCGAAGGTAAAGTGTGTCATGAAACCTCAAAATGCAGAGTACTATGTATATGACCATGGTGATGAGGGTGGTGCTAGAAAGGGGGATTGTGGGAAAAACACTGGGGCTGATGGTGGGTAGGTCGAGCGAGAGTCTTTTAGAGGAGAGTGTGGAATGGTTTCAAAAGTCGACACAACGTGTCTGGCCTAGGAAGCACACTAAATTCAGATTTCCTGAAATAGCAAGTGAGTGAATGGTTCCACACAATTTAATAGCAATTTTCATGACAAATAAATAACAAAGTTGACCTGTTAATAAACAATAGGACCCAGCAAAAAATTCTTACCATGCAGACTCCCATAGAGACGGAATATGGATCCGACTCTGACAGTAAGGCGCTTATCGTCAGCCTCCGCACGAGCTTAGAAGTACAGCTCAGCTGTCATCTCATCCTTCCCACCCATTATCTAATGAGTTCGCAACTCAGCAGATGCCCCGATTTCTCAGTAAGACAGATCAATAGTTCAGGATAAAAATAGAGTAACTGTAATAAGGTTCATTCGATTAAAATGCGTCAGGTCTGCTTTGACAAGCTACGAAGTCTGGTGGAAAGCTACCAAACTCATAGAGTTTTGCAGAGTTGAAGGGAGTGGGCGAATTTTGAACTTATGAGGAATGCCACATTGAATCTTTTTTTTCTTCATGCCACTGCAGCACGAAAAGGGATGAAGTAGTTCAGTGGCGCGTTTCCGACTAAGGACAGATGATTATGGTATAGGTAGCCCGCCTTTGGATTACGCGATGGGTTCCTTAATCTGAACTTCAGTAGGGTTTGTTATGACATTTGGTCGGGTAGCTCTAAATGTTTCGACAATTCAGGCTCTGAAAAGGTGCGATCCACGAACGTTTAGCTAGATAAAGGTCATTCGTCAACTTTCGCTGGGAATTAAGAAGACGTCCATCTTTCAACAGGATGATTATCTTCTTCATCAGGGCCACGTGATAAGCAGTCGACCTAAGAAGGATGAAGGTGTTGGCTGGCATATGACGTAATGGATGCAATTAGATCACATGGACTGTAGACATTATGAAGCCGTATCTAACCAATGAGCAACCAACCCGTGCCAAGACAACTATAGAACTCTCCCAATAGTGTCAACGTTGTAGAAAATTAACGCTTGATAGGAACCAATACGAAGGCCAGAGAAAAGACGACACGTTCAGCTCACAATCAAGGACAGCATTTAATCACACTTGCTCAACGCAATCGTCTACCTCCAACTCAATATTGAAGGATGAATGTCCATCTGTCGAAAAACTGGGGCAACAGCTTAATAGCGTTCAACGTCACTGTTGTCATGGTAAACCTGCCGCACGTTCTCAAGCTGAACTTCGGTCTTCGAATTATCCGAATGGACCCATTTGCGACGTTAGTCTGGAAGGCTGGACGGACGGAAATTTCACACATTAAGAGCCCTAGGAAACAATCGGTAATCCGCTTGAAGGAATTTGATAGCAGCTTCAGGCTGGAACTATAATCATGGGCCTTTCTTACCTAGCGGTGATCGAAAATGACGTCATATTTTGAGGACGGTGAGGGCTGTGGAGGAGAGCTGCTTCTACTTATAGGGGACATCTAAGGAATATTATGTTGTGAAACTTTCATCAAGAGCGGCACCCTATGCTTTGAAAAGTTTGATGATGTGACCATGGGTGAACGTATGCTCTTTTTTTGGCCCACCCTGTATTGGGACCGTAGCCTATCAATAAACCATTGTCAACAGGCTATCCCAACTTCAAGGAATCCTCCTCAGAAAAATTTTTTTGCATCGTTTCCTAACATAAATATGTTAGTAGTGCTCACTAGAGACAACCTACAAAGTTTCACGAATGAAGATTCAATTTCCGAAGAGAAACAATCCACGAAAACCAAACTCTATGGTAGGGTCGAAGGCAGGGTCGGACGAGAGACGCATGGAAGAAAGTTGCCGCTTGGGAGCACGAATCGAATTACGCATTTGAATGATTTCTAATGGAAGCATTCGATCTTGGAGAAATAGAGAAAAAAGATCTGTAGGATAGGATGTAGTAGTGTGAAATGTTAGTGCAGTAACTCACAAGGTAAAAAAAAGTTCTTAAGTGACGGGACACAACGAGAAACAAGTAAAAGTTACAGCGCCCAAGCAGTTCGAGGACAGATATTATGCGGTGAATCCGACACGACGGCAAACAGCCCTACGTTCTTCGCGCTTTCAAAAATGTTAATAGGTAAGACAGAACACTTCTTTCCGGTAGGATTTCTTCAAGTGGAAAATTGTTACCTTTTCACCTGAATTTTCGCTTCTCTTGCAGACTTTCGGTATTTTTTTCTGTATATTGATGTTCCAGTAAAGTTCAATAGCCATTAGAAATGGATATATCCTATTCCTTCTGGCGCGATGTGTCGTATTTTCAAGTGGGTGGCATACAAGGGGAAGAGGGAAGCCGAAAAAGACATGCCCATGTCGTGCATCAGTGAGATTTTTTCGATACACGATTTGCCGCATTCAGGAAAAGTCGTATAAAACAAAACTTATCTCAGCCATGTGGTGGGCGGATCTCGGCATCATCTGCATTCAAGGCGACTACCGTAATTGCTAGCTTCGCAATACAGTAATAATTTCTTGAAATGATTTCACTCTAGAATGTTTCCTAGAGATATTAGCTCTGCCCGGTGCCATATTTATGCGGCAGATTCCCACGTAAAAGGCTGATACAAAGTTTTTTTTTCACAAAATGAAATGTGTTCTTCTACATTCAACTGTAACACTTCGGCGAATTATGCAGAGACAAGGTTTGTAAGTAAGTGTGAAAGTGCCTCAAATGTGTGCCAAACCTGTTACCTGCATTAGTGTTTTGGGTCTATTCCAGTTAGGGGGGCATCATGGTGCGGTGACTCCCAAAAAGCTACGGTAACTCTGAGCCAGGGGGAGTGTAGCCAGCCTAGGGGGGTGGGGGTGAGGGCAGTCACTTGACATGCGTGAGAAGCTGGAATGTTCGAGTTTACATTAGCTCGCCGAGAAACTGCATCATGATGCCCCCCTAACTGGAATAGACCCAGTTTTTTTTGTAAATTATCAAGTGGACCTCAATCTGCCTCAACTTCTCTGCGTCGTCGCCTTCTTAATAAAGATGTCGTCAGTTGTGGTGTTTGATTCGTATTCACCTCACTACACCCTAATGATCGCCTAAAAGTGCAAAATCAAATCGTTTTGCATTTTGATTTATGTTTTCCAACTAAGCTGTTATCCCTTTGTAATTATTTGTAAATTTGTTTTGTTTATTTTCTCAGCCTATGCGCCGCGTGTAATGGAATGCAGCTGGAAATAATCCGCTATTAAATTAACCCATTACAGGTAGAAATTGTGGTTCGATAGGAAGGCACACTATGCAAGTGGACAGATCGCAGCGTTCTGTATTTGGTGAGCCATTTTTATCCTTGATTATTTTTAAATAGCTACACACTTGTTCAAGTATTCCTAATTTAGTGGGAAACATTTCGTATGAAGTACCTGAGGACACAATCCGCCAAATTTTTTCCAAGGTGTGACATCATTAATCAGCTTTTTAGTGAAGTAATATAGTTAGTAGGATTAGGATATTTAGGTAGGACATGTCGTCCATATTAAAATGGTTCATGATCGTGAAACTGGCAAGCCAAAGGGTTATGGTTTCATCGAGTTTCTCGACGTGCAGACTGCTGAACTGGCTATCAGGAATTTGAATGGGTGAGTGCTGTCTCGTTATTTTTCTGAAATAGGATTGCAATGTGGAAGTGTTTGAGAATTATTTACTGTTTCCTGTCGATATTTATCGGTCTTAGTTGTTGTCCAGCAGTAAAAACTTTGAAAAAGGTTAAATGTGTCACCATCCCTCACATTTTACTAATTAATGATTTCTAAGATATGAAGTGAATGGTCGCCAGCTCCGAGTTGACAGTGCTGCAGGAGGGGATCGTAGTGTTGATGAGATCCAACAATTACAAGCTGCTCTGAGTGCCGCTCAGGTTGAAGAAAGTCCATATGGACCGGAACCCGAAGAAGGTCGTGCGCCTGAGGTAAATTGATTGAGTATTATGTAATTCCCGAATTTGTGTTTTGTTCCTCACCGTTCCAAAAGATTCTAGCTTGTTTCTAGGCGATTTCTCGCACGGTAGCCTCACTTCCACCTGAGAAAATGTTCGAGTTGATGAAGCAAATGAAGGATGTTGTTCGATCGAATCCAAGTGAAGCAAAGCAAATGCTTGTACAGAATCCACAACTTGCTTACGCCCTCCTCCAGGTATTTTTGGTCATAGTGTGATCTGCGGAATGTTTCCTCCTTTAGTCATTTGTCTTTCTTCTCCTAGGCCCAAGTTGTCATGCGCATCGTCGATCCACAAGTTGCCATTGCAATGCTTCACAGAGAGCCAGCTGCTTCTACAGTGCCTGCCGTGTTTCCTGCTCAACCTGGTTCCTCTAGGTTTTCTGACGAGTTGTAAACACCAGCTGAACGTATAGTTTTCGAGCGATTCTCCCTTGTCACTGTTCGATAGCCCTTCAGTATTCTGTCAAGAAGGTGAAACTTCGATTGAGAAACATCCAAAAGTCACTCGGAAGATTTCACAAGAAGTTTAAAAATGGCTGTTTTTTATCTCTAACTTGTCAAGTCTCCTGCTTCTGGTTGCAGAGGATTGGATTGACAAAATAGTCACCCTACTGAGATTGAAATCTTCATGATCACTCTTTCTGTTTAGCTATGGCCCCATTGCCAGCCGTTTCGCAACCTGGCTATGCCGCTCCACCTCAGCAAATGTACGCCTCGTCCTGGACCACCACAGGTACACAGAGTCGAATCTATATTTGTTAGCTCCGCTAAAATGTAGTGGTTGTGATTTAGAAGATTTGCACTGTCTTGCTTTTCTTTCCTGCTGCAATGGGTTTCACTATGTAAAATAAGGAAATTTCCAGCTTCTCAGAATAGGATAGGAGGCGACGATAAGAAAGCCGTTTTGGTAGGAAGATAGGATAAGTGTAAGACCGACGTCACACTCGGCGACGAACAGCGGTGGAGCGATCGCGATCGCTCCATCGCTTGTTCGTCGCCGAGTGTGACGTCGGCTCTAAATTACGATATTCAAATGGAAAGATTAAATACTTGTCGAATGAAGTTGCCGGAGGGTATAGGGTAGGATATTAGAATAGTAGGAGTGTAGGAAATCGAGGTAGTCAGAAAATTAGGAAATTGCGCTGATACGATAGATCGATTCGCCGAGTACGCCTAGCCTTCCAGTCTGCTACTTCCCTAATCGATACGTATCTAATCTCTTCAACTGAACATCCTAGACTTTCCTCATTTCCAAAGTCAAGAACTACGATAGTATTTCTAGAACAAAGTAATTTTTATAAAAAAGTTTTTCTCGTTTGTGTAGACATGGGTTACAGTGAACTAGGGCAGGGGAACGGCGGGAGAGGCCAAGAAAAGCTTTATCTCTCTCAAACTGCATTAATCTGCATTAATCAGGCTTTGTTAGACTTAAACCCGATGCTTAGAACATACGTTGAGGAGCCTATTGGAATTTATTGAACAACTTCATAATAATTGATACGGGCGTCTTAAGAAGAATCTGCCAGGAAACATGATGCAAATCTTGAGAACGAGCAGGTCCTAGACCCATCGTGGGCCTTATACGTTGTCCCAGAAGATGCTGGGCAGGGCAGGGTCCTGCATAGCCGGAGCGATTCTCTTTGGGAAATTAGCCATCCTTGAATCGATCGAAGAAGTTAGGTAGCTGCTTCAGGCTGAAGCAGCTACCTAACTCTTTCAATCAATTCAAGGATGGCTCGTTGCCACTGGCTAGCTAGGATCTGCTGTAGCCCCCTTGAGCTCGAAGGGGATACCGGATGGCCTCATGCGTATTCTAAACGGTGAGGACTGTGAACAGGGCCTTGCTCCTCCTAACAAACGGAAAGAGGTATCTTGCCGCGAGATTTCCATCAACGGAAGCACTCTGTGGAAGGGAAAGTTTCTGATATGCGCAAAGTTTTTTATATGCATCATGTAGTCACAGTGCGAAAGCGTTCGTTGTTGCGAAAATGCATCGATGGGATTTCCTCGTTCTCTTGCAAAACTGTTTAGCTATGCTTTCAAGCCGCAGCTACCTTTATAGTGCGACAGGATTCATATCCCGAGTACCTCTTGTTTTTTTAGCCACCACCGCAACCAGAAATCACACCAGATGAACAGCATAATGCGGAATTGTTGGTGCAAGTCATGAGACTCACAGAAGCAGAAATCGCCATGCTACCACCGGGTGACAGAGAGAAAGTGATCGAGTTGCGTAATCAGCTGCGGCAGAGTGTGTGATTCCTTAGCGTTTCTAATGTACATTCTTTCTTTGATTTTGTTGTTGTTCATATTGAGCTATTGAGCGTAGTGACTGTTCGCAATACGGTTTCCCTGTGGTAATGTTAATTGTTATACGCTATGTAATGAAATCATTAAATGGTTTTCAAAGAATAGTTCAACGACTTTCGCTTAATCTCCGTACGGAAATTGATGTAAGGCATTGTTGTAGCCTGTGCGAAATTTTAGTAACCTTTATTAGAGCTACATTTCGGCCTCTTCGCCTCAGAGCCTGAAGTCGAAAAGCGAGACTGATGCTTAACCGAGCAATACAATTCTGAAGACTGTTCCACCAGACTTCTAAACCAACAAACGGGATCAGTGGTGAGACTGCCACAAAGCTCACTTAGGTTCGTCGCTGAGGCGCAAGACAGATCACCCAAGAAGCACACTTTAACGTGGGGTGAGCAGACCTTTCTCGCCTCTCTGTCTCACCGAACATGACTTTTAAAGGATTTCCCATTTTTCATGCAGCCATCCTCATTTCCAAACTATTTCAATAGCAGTTTAACGATTTTCGAGAATTGATAAAACTGCTCGTTCAGAAAAGATAGTTGAAAGGTGATGTTGGGAGCATAGTGGAGTAGTAGTTATCCAGTTCCCCCAGATTTTAGAAAAATGTCATGGTGTCCTCCTCACAGTGTTTCCGTTATCTTATAACCCTTCAATATTGCTACCGCATGAAAGAAAAAAAAATGAAATAATTAGTTTATTGGACATGAGATACATCCCGTGCAAGATTACTTTCAATTTAAATGTAGTTAAAGAAGCCATAGACTAAAATAAGAGCCACAGCAGATGTAACCAGTTGATGATTATTTGTAGAACTCAAAATCATTCATATCCTTCTTAATCACATTCTTGTACGCCTTTTCAAAGTCTTTTGTGAGTACGACGTAACGATTTTCTCGAACAGCGTGCATTCCAGCCTGAAACGGGTAATCAAATAACTGCGCTTCATTATCTCGTTCCTAGCTCACGGACCTCTTGACAAATGGCATTTATGTCAGCTCCAGATATCTTATCCGGCCGTGCGACGTAGTCCTCGAGATCTACGTCATCGGATAGGTTCATTCTTGAGGTGATCGTAGTAAACACGAGACGTTTTTGGCGCCTAAATAACGTATTTTAATTCGATGATAGGCAAGGAAAGGAAGAGTGCTTGCGTCGTGACTTTATCAAAAGTTTTGTGGTTCTGAAGGAAATACTAATCCAGTATCGATTCGTTCACAAGGTGCGTCTTCCGCTTCAGAGTGGTACTTCTGACATCAGTCCACCAAGAACAAAAAAGTATGTTGCCAGTAGGAGCGCATGTATTCCAGATTGACCCGAGTTTGCCACTTACAATATATTTTGCGACACAAGGCATGTATCATTTTCATTGCAGAGGTGGGAACGGTGGGTGAATCCACTATTCAAACTCCCCCATAACAATTAAACCATGACTCAAGAAAAGTTTCTATAGCTACTGTGCGCCAACATTTCGAACTGTAATGGAACAAACCGGTCTGGAAGTGGGAATTCGATCTTCCTGTCAAGTCGCCCAGGCCGCAGTAGAGCAGGGTCCAACGTATCATGTCTATTTGTAGCCATTATCACCTTGAAAGAACGCCTTTCATGCAAAAGCAATAAGACTAAGCAATAGTAATGTGTAGTATTTAGATTAGACAAGAATAGACACTAGTTAATAGACAACCTTGACGTTGGTACTTTGATCGAAGCCATCCATCTGATTCAAAAGCTCAAGCAGTATTCTTTGAACCTAAAAAACAAACATATTATTTGGTAAGCAAAGAAACTATCAACTGGAACCAACCATACTTAACTGTAGTGGAGGTGAATGTACCGCATGCGAAAAACCCCAAAAACAGAACATTTCTACTTGAATTGCGTTAAAACAGTTCGAAAAAAAAGAGGTATCCCAAGATTTCCTATTGCAGTTTTCTTGTATGACACAAATACATGAATGGAATGAAAAAGAATCTTTCTAGCATAACTTCCTCGGCAACAGCAACCTTCCTTTCCAAAGAAAAAAAAATCATTAAAGTGAAGGACTCGAAGTGAATAAAAGAGTACAGAACATCTTCAAAAACTTATTCGAAAAATTGTTAAAAGATTTCACCAACCTCTCTATCTGCTCCTGTTTGAGCATCAAATCGCTTTGTTGCAATTGCATCAATTTCGTCAATAAATATGATAGAGGGAGCATTTTCTTTGGCTAGACGGAACACATCACGCACCATTCTGGGACCTAAGAAGGAATAGTTACTCACAGACATTTCTCGAGTCGAAATCACAGCACAAACCTTCTCCGAGATACTTCTGAACGAATTCAGAACCGACGACTCTTATAAAAGAAGCAGCTGTATTGGCAGCCACAGCTTTAGCAAGCATAGTTTTCCCACATCCAGGAGGACCATACATAAGGACTCCACGTGGAGGGTCAATACCGATCTAAAATTATTGGTTTAAAAGACACAAGGGTCAATCAAAATGAATCTCTTTTCT